GTTGGGAACCATGGGTGTCCTAGAAGACAGAATATCAGATGGCTTCAGGAAAGCCAGGAAGTAAATGGGAACATGGTGTGTGCCCTCTGGAAGTGCTTTCCTCAGATACAGAGTTAGAGTGAACACTGGAGTTTCATCCTCAAGAAGCAGTGAAAAGAGAGGGTCAGTATGTGCATACATACCTTTGAAGAGGCAGGTGCTGGGTTCAGGTATCATTTCATTCCCACCTTACTATGTGATAGGCTGGGTGGAGGGGCATCTATCTGAGATGGAGCTGGAAAATATGCCTGAGGACCAGAACCAAGAAGAACACCAAGTCTTATGCATTGTCACTACCTCCTCAGTTCTGCTTCTAAATCTTTCATTTAAAATCTTTAAAAATATTTGTTGTTTTTGTGTTTGACTGCATGTGTGCATATGTTACTGGGAATGCATTTTTGTAACTCACTTTCTTGTTTAATGATTGATGGGGGAATAACCCAGCTCATCGTTTTGTGGTGCCATCCCTGGGCTTGTGGTCCTGTGTTCTGTAAGAAGCAGCCTGAGCAACTCATGGGGAGCAAGCCAATAAGCAGCACCCCTCCATGGCTTCTACATCAGCTCCTGCCTCCAGGTTCCTGTCCTGTTTAAGTTCCTGTCCTGACTTCCTTCACTGATGAACAGTGATAAGTAAGTGTAAGCCAAACAAATTCTTTCTTCTTCAAATTGCTTTTTTTGGTCATGGTGTTTCATCCATAACTAAGACAATGAATTTGTGTCCTTTTTTGCAAAGAATGCATGTCAAAGATGAGTTATATTATTTCAACCCAGTTCTGAATCTGGTAGGTGTTGAGCTATTTTACCAATCTGGGAAGACCCAGCAGTGTGAGGAGACTAGGAGGAGAGCTTGCTTCTGATTGTTTATCACAGCTTCAAGTTGCAAAAAGCAGTGGTTACCAGAGACTATTAGAAGATCTTTCTTCCCCCCTCCCACCTTCAGGGTTTCTCTGTGTAGACTTGGCTGTCCTGGACTGGATTTGCAAATCAGGCTGGCCTCAAACTCACAGAGATCCACCTGCCTCTGACTCCCTGTTTGCTGGGATTACAGGCATGCACCACTACCCTGGGCTAGAAGATATTTCTTATCTTGTGGGTTATTGTCTAATTCCAAGTCACATGTGTTATTGTCTAATTCCAACTGTAAGCCTCAGCTCAGTAGTTCTAGGTCACAGGCCATTTCCATGGCACTGTAGAAGCACAAGACACCAGGTGTGGTTCCTGACAAATGAGAATAAATGTTTGAGGAGACAAGTCTGTAAGGTAGCTCAAGGAAAAGGAAATAGTCAATTGACTTTAAAAGTGGATGAATAGCTAACAGTTAATCTTGCTCTTTATGACAATGATGAGGGAAAGCCATCATGAAGGAACTAAAATAACTCAGCATGACATCTAACTGCAGGCAGAAAGCTGGAAACAGTTCTCAATATCATTATTTCTGACTGATGAACTGATAAAGATTTTATTTTATGGTTTGATCAGTTTTCAGTAGACTTTAAATGTATAGTATTTTTCTTTCCTGTCTACCTCACATTCACTGTGAGACAAACATAACTCACTTCTTAAAGAGTTCACGAAAGTTGTCTAGGTTTTTAAATCTCATATTATGGCATGACAGGAAAATATTGTTGGTGTGTATTAATATTGTGTTTTATAAGGAGAAGGGTCTCCATTTCTGGAGAACTAAAATATAAATTGTGTAATTTAGAACAACGACAAAATGGCCTATCTTCCTGGAAGCAACAGGGCTTCTATTTTTGCACAACTCCAGGGGTCGCCTTACATATCATAATTTGTGTATCCGACCTCCATACAATTATACCCACGCTGTGCTCTGTGCTGGACTTGGAGGTCCCAAGCAAAGAGGTCCCTCAACCAAATGTAAATTAAGTGTCAGAGAGGAGAGACTGTGATAAGCACAGGAAGGAGGCTCATGGCATAAATGGGACAATGAGAGTCCGAGTTGACTAAACCGTTACCCTAATTTTGTACAGTTTATGTTGATTTGTCCTGGCATTCATTCAACTACCCATTTGTGGATCCCAGTGCTTACCCTAGGTATTACCCTTGCTGTTATGGCATTGATTACATCCATGACTTCCAAGGTGATTTGAAATGTGCATTTCAGTAATCACTGTATGAGGCACTGCCACCGTTTCAGAGACCCAAGCCATGGACTCTGCTGTCCCTCAGTTGTTCCCACCCTGCCCAGCCCCTACCAGGTGTCCATGAAATGTTTCCAAGGTGTGTGTTGGTTGCTAAATGTGACACTAGTGGGTGCATGAAGTACCGCTTTCTGAGTGGGAAGAAGAGAGGCGAGCAAAGAAACGTCCCAACGGCTGACATTTTAGGAGAGGTGAAGTTTTCCTAAGGTGAGCTGTAGAGTAAGACATTTCAGACAATAGACCCAGTGTGACACTGCAGAGGCTTCAGAGGCTGTAGGTTTAAGGCTTGGAACATACCAGATTACATGAAGGTAGGGTATCCAGTGGCAAGACGATAAGGCTGAAAGAGCTCAGTGTTGGGTTATCCTGGCTGCTGAAAGTTGGCCAGCAGTTGGGTCTTAATTCTTTGTGCAGGAGAGAGGGTGGGTATTGAAAATGTTTCAGCTACTGAATGGTAGATCAGAGGTGGATTGATTGTTTATTGAAAAAAAAAAGTAACCTGACAGCTTCGTTCACAGCCGGGGCACAGACTCTGAGGGCAGGCTTTCCTTTGACTGGATCAGATGAATTACTTGTTTGATGTGCAGCTCCCAGGACCCTGCAATGTCCTATTTCTTAGCTCTGGGCCTAGGTGTGGGCTCAGAGTTTAAGTACATTATTTTAGTGTTTAAATAAGTTATCTAGGTCATTTTCTGTACATGAATGCTAATTAAGTTTGGCTTGGAAACAAGACCAGAGAGAGGGTGCATTGGCTGTCTACATTTTTTTTTTTTGTAACAAACTACCTCCAAATTACTGACACACTACAGTAAAAATGGCCTGTCTTTAAGTATACGAATCAGGAATTTGAGAGTGGTTTTGCTGAGCAGTGCCATGAATTTTCACTGAAGCTACTGGCTAGTATTGTAGTTATCACACAGCTTCAGGGCAGCTGAGGATCTTCCAAGCTAATTTGGTTGGTTTTAGCCTCTCTAGGTGGATCTCACCAGAGGATCACTTGATATGGAAATTCTTATCTCCTGGCATGAATGTTTCAAGGGTCCAGGAGACACGGGGGAAAGAGAAGGGACGGTGTGGAAGAAACAGAGCTACAGACTAAGACATAGCTACAAACTTTACTTTTCCGTTTTTAGATATGTTCTCAGTATGAATCCAGGCCAGAAATGAAGTAACTCACATTGGCCTTGAGCTGCTAGGTGTCTGTTTCAGCATCCCTAGTGCTAGGAAAACAAATCTTTGCCGCTACCACACACTAATCTTGGAAATGGTATCCCATCACTTCTACTGTGTTCTACTGGGCTCAGAGACCAACCCTGCATGCTTAGACTAGGATGATCAGGGAGAGCCTAGAATCCAGGTAAGGTGGGAGACGAAAATTCACAGCCTTGGTATGAGATGTTAGAAATGTGAAATCATAATACTGCATGCTAGACACAGTTTTGAACACTTTGTGCAAGAGCCTCTGTCTATCCAGTAGTCTCTGGCATGCAGTAAGTATTCAAACATGTTAGCCTGCCATGCTCTGAGCACCTTGCCTGTCTTATCACACTTAACTCTGACAACTTATCCTGAACGGGAAACTGTAAGGCTAATTAGGACAGGGGAGAGCTGGTATTAGAGAGGGCTTGTCGGGACATGGAGAACGTGGAGACAGAATGAATGTGGAGGAGAGGAATTGATGGTAGCATCAGTGTCTCGTGGGACCTGAAGCTGGCTGATGGGCCACTGCTGCGGCTCCTTAACTTCCATCCAGGGAGTGTGAGGACACTTCCTGAGCAGACACAGCCACTAGGCAGAGGACGACATGCCTGTCTAAAGCACCTCACTGGCCATGCAATTTGGTGTAGCAGAGACTAAGCCTCAGGCCAGGAATCATAGCCTGAATGGATCTCAAGCACAGTTCCTAAATGGCTGAGTCTTGTTTCCTGAGAATGTAGGGCATGACTCCGGCCTTAAGGTTTTCCAACTCAAGAGTTTTCTGCAGTTGGGAAAGCCTCAGATAAAAAGCCTCTGGGTGCAGCTTGTCAGGCTCCTAAATGGATTGGATAGGGTGTATAAAGTCACGCCATGTTTCTTGTTTATAACCCTTCCTGTCGACACTCACGGTCTGGGGTCTTGTGTCGTACCTTACCCCGCCCAGCCCTGTTTTTCTCCAAACATCCCCAGTGTCGCTCTCCTGTGGAAAGCTCTGTTACCGGCTACCTTTCCGCTCTGTTAAGCTTTCCTCCCAGAAGTGCATAAACTTCGGCTGTGCTTTGCGACACCCTGGTCCGGTTCTCTTAGTCACAGGCTTCTTCCAACTTTCTTTTTTTCTCTTCAGGTTTTCTCGCTGGCTGCGCCTGTCTCTAGTGCCTTCAATCTCCAACATTCCAGTCTTTCTCTTCCGTGATCATGCTCTGTAAAGCCACGCCTGGAGTAGCAAATGCTTCAGAGTTTGATAATTTACTTAATGTCAACAAAAGAAAAGGAAAAAATAAGCTGTAGAAATGCAAGCACAGAACTGCAGCCAACTTGGCCTGCAGGACCGAGGTTCCCAGAAGCGCCTGCCTGCCCCTGCAGGCTCCTTCCTCCTAGCATTAATAAGTCCCAGAGACCCCGCTGATATGGCAGGGCAGACCATCTCAGACCCCACACAGAACTCTTGATTCACCAAGCACTGGTGGCCTTGCTGCTGCCGCTGGACCAGGGCAGCCAAGCCTTGCCTAGTGGCGCTGGAGCGTCTCCAACACCCGGGTGGGGCCTGGAGGGAGCGCCCAGTCAGTCACCCCGGCATGTGGGCGCGGCGGGGCGGGCCAGGGCTGCGAGCTGGACGCTGAGTGTCCTTCTGCGCCCAAGTGTTTGTCCAGCTAGCCCGCGCGGCTGTCTGCCTTTCCTTCCTTCTCTTTCCGGACAGCTGCTGAAGGCAATCTGGAGGTAGCAGGGGCTTGAGCCTCCTTGCTCGCTCGGCGGGTTCTGAGCAGGTAGGTGACCCCGCGGGGAGGACACTGGAGCATGGAGCCAGGCAGAAGGGTGAGCTCCAAGTGGAAACCAATGGCTGGGTCTCTAGAGCTAAGGGATGAGCACAGGAGCCAGGGCCAGCAAGAGACCCCGGTCCCCGCGGCCAGGGGGCTAGTCTGTCCCTCTCGTCCCTCCTCCACCGCGCGCAGGGAGAGCGCAGGTGCCCAGCCGAGCCGGCGACAACGGAGGCGGCCGGTGTCCGGTGTCCGGTGAAGGGTGTCCAGTATCTGCAACCGGGGCCGGATGAGGGCTTGTAATCGATGCTCTGAGTCTCCAGTAGGAGGAGAATGGGAGGCGACCTGCTGTCTTTTGGGGAAGTTGTGGGGTCCCAGCGGTGTGCGCGCTCCCGCGTTGAGGGTTTACGGGAGCTTGGGGCAGGTCCAGCCGGCGGAGCCACCTGTGACAGTCGGGGCCACCGTGCCAGCAGGAGCACCCGCAAATCAGCGCGGGTTCAGTCACCGGGCTGTGCCGTGTGGCGTCCTGGCCGAGAACTTCCAGAGCAAGAGTGCTAAAACCGGTTTCAGCCCACGCAGAACTCCATGAGTGCCTTCCCGGCGCAGGGACACCCTCCCGCGGGCGCCCTCACGTGGAACCAGAGCTGCAGGCGGTGTCGCCTCTCTGTGGTTCTGGGTCAAGGCTCAATCCAGAATCTGGGCCAGGACTTCCCTCCACAAAGGTGAGGGATTCATGGGCCCTAGGTGGAGTCACTAGCTGAAGGTTTTCTCCGCGGTGTCTCCCTTCGCTATGGTCCCAGAGAAGCCTTTTTTCGTCAGCTCCCAGACAAGCTTCTCTTTGCATATATATGTATATATACACAACATTAATAAATAAGTGGAAGGAATGCTTAGGCGAAGATTTGGTAGGAATGGACCTTTCTACGTGCGTCTGTATGTGAAATACTTTAACATCACTTGAGAGTATTTACAGAACATCTAACTGCTCTCACCACTTGCAATTTATTTTATTCTCAAAATCATCATATAAAAGAATAAGAAAAAAAATTTAATAAAACAACTCAAGGCCTGAAGACAGAGCTAGATGTTTAAAAGATGAATAAAATTTAAACCAGGTTTTTAACTTTAGGACATACTTACTAGACATACCACAATATTTTTGTGATAGATAGGGCATTGTTATTGTCATTATTATTGTTGCTTGTTTGTTTATTAGGCTCCATATTAATTAAAACACAGAGTTGTAGAAAAATGGAAAGTGTGAAAGTCAGACTAGATCTGCAGGTATCTTGGGAACTTAACCAAATTTGGGACGCTTTAGAAAGTTTTAGAGTTAGCCACAGGTGTGGGCTTGTTGCCTGTTATCTATCTTTCTCAAGAAAAGTGCCACACGAGAAGAAAAACAAGTTAGCCGAGCTGCACTTCGTGTTGGGCCTCAGATACCTGCACTCACTATGAGACCCAAACATCCCTGGGTAGATCAGTGTCAGCAGTGACTGTCCTTTCAGAGTGAAAATAGGAAAACCCCTGTCCGGTTCATTTCCTGGTTTTTATTTCCTGTTCTTTTCTCAATACAGTCAAGGGAGATTTTACCTCACAATCGCCCAGTTACCAAGATTCCCAGGTTAATATATGGATTGGGAAACTGAGTCCAAAGATGGGACGCGACCTTCCAAAGTCACAGCTCCCTGGAGGCAGAGCTGGGAATGCAGGCTGCTATCCTTGGAGGCACACATATCGCTGTGCTGGGGTTTGCTATAGGAAAGCCTTAAGAAGGGGTTAGAGGAGAGTCATTCAGACTGAATCAGTTTGGTGCCATAGCCAACAGCCACAGACATTTGTTTGCTGGGTTTCCTTGGCATTCTCTGAGGCCATCGGAGCCTCTTGAAGAAAACTTCAAGAGCGATTAAGCTGACCCTCATGGTCAAGGTCTATAGTCCCAATGATGTGAGAGAAAGAGGCAGCCAGCCAGTATGGAAAGTCGAATATCCAAAACTGGCCTGGGCAGCCTAGACTCCATCTCAAATATAAAGCAAAAAGAGGGCTGGGGATGTAGCTTGGCCACAGAGAATTTGTCTAGCACGTGAAAGGGCCAGCCTTTACTCCTCAGAACTACAAAACAAAACAGACTGACTAACCTTAAGGCTTCACAAGGCAAAACAAAACAAAAGGGTTCGCACCACTCTCTACAAAGGTGCCATGGAAGGGAATATTGGGGAGATAAATTATCTGGCAAGTGAAAGGCAAACTCAACACTGGGCCAGTGTGGCCAGCAGCTCTGTGCTCCTTCCTGGGTGGGGAGTTTTCTTCTGGGAAACTCTAAGCTTCTCTACCCTGGACTTCACGTTTCTGGTCCCTGCAGACATTTTCTGGTTTTTGTTCTGAAACTTTCAAAGTGGCATCGCATCCTGATTCTGGACTCACAAGTAAACTTGTAGCAGCCAGTCTATGCAGTGGATACAGTAACTGCCATGCTTTACAGCTTCCTCAGCTGTGAAAGGAGACTGACTTCTTGAAGTTAGAGAGTGATTGGAGTGGACCTCTACTGAGTAGTGCCGCAAACAGTTAAGTGTCAGTTCTGTTATCAGAGCGAGCTCTGGGCCTGGCTGGGGGAGGAAAGTGCCCTTGGCTCATTGAGGTAGTTAATTTTCAGTGCTCTCTCTCTCTCTCTCTCTCTCTCTCTCTGCCTTTCCAATATAATTCTCTCGACTGAATACGGGGGAAGAGTAGAAGCTGTAGACCTCATCAGTTGCTAATTTCCTATTGTGTTCTCTATGGGTGTTAAGCACTGCGCTCATGGAATGTGAGCATTTATGGATGTTTCCTGGAATTTCAAGGAGTCATTTACCTTGTTTACTTTACCTCTTTACTTCAGGACCTTGGAGTCACATCTGCCAAGGAAGCAGATTCTTTCTGTGGGAGAGGAATATCTTTTATAAACCCTTCCTTTAGTGTGGACTTGGTTTGCTCTTTTTTTCTGAGAATGTTCTAGAAACAAAATATTCCAAGACATTGATTCTGTACTGTATAACCTTGAATACCATCCCAAGCCAATATGGAAGCTTAACTAGGGGCCCTGGGAGGAGCATGCCTGAGTTACAGTTGTGTCATTAATTTTAATGCTGTTCATCCTTCCTCTTAATATCATGTTCCATTTGAATTCCAGTAGCTAAAATGCTGTGGGAGAAAATCAGGTGCAGGTAGATGTCCTATGTACTTGACTGGGAGGCTCAAAGGGCTGTGTTCAAGAAGCCACTTTACATGGAAACAGAGGAGGGAGGGAAAGAAAAAGGATTAACACTCACAGAGACGGGGATGGGCAAGGAGAGTCAGGACTACTGCAGTGATGGTGTAGCCTACTAATCGTTCTCAAGTTTAAGTGTGCTTTGCTTTCTATGGAGAAGCAAGATGTTTGAACGACCATCGCTAGAGGCAAGATTTCTTAAGCGTTGTAGGCATGAAAGTTGTAGTTGACCTTTTAGGACATACATGATTCTGAAGTATCATAGTAAGACTTACATTCCTGTGACATTTAGAACAAATAAAGTGCCTTTTCTTCAGAATACAAACATGATACGTATTGTATATTGTGGAGATATACGCATGTATATGCATGTATACATATATTATCCTTTTCTCTGACTGGGGAATGGCTCATTTGGTAAATAAAGCATGAGGATCTGCAGTAGGATCCCATATGCAGCAGTATCTAATCCCAGTGCCTCTCTGGTGAGATGAGAGGTGGGGTAAGGACACCCCCCGCCCCAGCAGAGCTTTCCAGTCAGCTGGAGTGATCTGCCTACACAGTGCTGAACAAGCAAAAGAGAGATCTTATCTCCCAGAAGGTGGAGGGCTGCAGCTGACACCTGAGACTGTCCCCTGTGGCATAAATGAGTATACATACGTGCATAAATATATAATACATGCATATGTCATATACAGACACAAAGTCTGAAGATTTGGCATCTAAAAATTTTAACCACATAACGCTGTATAAAAATAAACTGAGACCTAAAGGAATTGCCACCCTTTAGTACTACCTTCTTGGCACCATGCATGCCCAAGTTCACAGCCTTTTTTCTTTCCTTCCTTCTGAAGGAGCCTGCTGATAAACTTTTATAAAACAAGGCAGAAGCCAATGGCCTCTTCTTCCCCATAGATATCTGGCCTGAAACTTAAATTTTACTAATTTAGGTTATGTGGAAAGGAGATACCAAAGAGCTGGTAGCCTTCTGGAATGTTTTTGTTCCTTTTATTCCTTTTATATTATTGTTCCTTTTTGCACTTGCACTGTTCTCATGGCTCTGCAGGGTTGTCTGGAAATGCCCTTTGCGAAGGAGGACACGGCCGTATACACGCAGAGCTTAAGAGAAGGGAAAAGAAAGATCACACTCTCGTTTTTATTTCTTCTTTTCACTTCTTTAAGAATGGCTCTGCTCCACTAAGAGTCTCTCAATGGTGACATTTTCTTGTGGAGTAAGTCATTGGGGAGGGTATTTTAATTTCCTCTCCTGACCTTTGTTATTGTTTTTGTTGTTGATTCCTTTTAGCCATGCTGTTGGCAGCTGGGAGGCACTGAAGTAATGATATGTTTGTTCAGTGGGGAGGAAGCCAAGCAACCCTCTGTTAAATTTCTGTTTTTCTAAGAGTGGCATGGACAAAGTTAGAGTTTTTCTGATAAAATACCTATTATGGAATAGAGGCTATACTCACTTGAAGCGAAACATACCTTCACATTTCCCCCTTTTCTCTTTGAAATGATAATTATATTGTTTCCTCCTGGCTTTCTTCACTACTGTGCTCCTGTTCATAATCTACACATTTTTTCTGCCTGACTTGGATGTTGCTCTTTGCAGGCTTGTCCACCATCACTGACCAGCATTTGCAACACGAACCGCTCCTGAGTTCCCGCACGAGGAGGAGCTATTTCTGGGGTGTTCAGATCTCTTGGAGGTGCCCGAGCGCCAGCCTGCTGGAAGCAAACTTGCAAGTCATTTCCAGGAACATCTGCTGCAGGTGGAGAAGTTCTTGTGACCAGCAGAGATGCTGAGACAGATACTATCGGATATGTTCATAGACCCTGACCTGCTGGCAGAGCTCAGCGAAGAGCAGAAACAGATCTTGTTCTACAAGATGAGAGAGGAACAGATCCGACGATGGAAAGAAAGAGAAGCGGCCATGGAAAGAAAGGAGTCCCTGCCAGCGAAATCCAGACCAAAGAAAGGTAAAGTTTCCTGTTGGGTGCTGTGAAGTGGCAGCAGAATGTCTGCTTTAAGGGCTCACAGCACTCAAGCTGGCTAGCTAGGAGCTGTGATTTTGTGGCCAGATCCTAAATGTTACTCAGCTTCTCACAGTCAAGGTTTTCAACTGGAAGTCTGCATTTGCTCACACGTAAACACAGAACACTCACCACGCAGTGTCCATGTTTAAGCAAATCTTTGGTCAGATTATCTTAAGGTCCGGTAAGGTCAGTGTAAGGAATGCGGGTGTAGCTCAGAGGTAGGACCCTTGCCTAACATACACGAAGCTCTCATTTCCATTCTAGCACCTCCAAAAAGCAAGAAGCCATCCTTGAGTTTCCCTTGAGGATCTTTAAGGAAGGTCTCTGTTACCCTAATTGGCTTAGCATTTCAATATCACAATACAAAGTTCTTGTGCAGCAGGTGTACAGCAAGTGTGATTTTGCATTATCAACTTCGGGGACTTTTCAAGTTATCCTTTTTAGGAATGCCCATTAAAATGTACAGAACTTGCTTAAAGAGACCAAGTCACAACGGTGTGTGTGTTCAGTGTGGAATAGTCTCGGGTGTACTTCTTCACAGCTGAGTGAGTCCAGGAGTTTGAAAGAATTCTGTTGAGACCATAAGGGAAGGTATTCTTTGTTCACTAAGAGCTAAACGTATACATACACATACATGCAAAGTGCACATTAACCCCCTCCCCCCCACCACACAGGCTCTGTCGTGGATCAGTACCCTAGCTAAACATACCTACACCCACCCATACACACACACACTCACACACACACACACACACACACACACACACTCACACACTCACACAGAGTTTTCAAGGTTACTCATTGAGATATTCGCACTCATCTTTTCCTAAGCCTGAAAAAGGAAAGTTTTATAAAACCACTCAGGATTTCAAAAGCTGAGAAAATACATTTCATTGGCATGCTTGGCTTATACGCAGATTCAAAATGGAAATCAGTCTAGTGGCCTTTGCCTCATATGCAGCTAGTTTTTAATGAGGTCTACATACTAATTAAGAATGTATTATGATCTTACACAACACACACAGTTTAAGGGATGGGAGGGAGATAGGGTGAGGATGCAGGAAACACTAGGGTCAATCCCAAGGACCCCCACCACGATAGCAACAAACTAATTACCAAAACGTCCTGGATATAAAACAACAAACAAACAATAATAATTAACTAACTGCTATTTTATACACGGTCTGAGACACAAACCTTGCATCTTATCCTCCCCAAATTTGTGCAATGTTGGTACTAATTGTGCAATCTTATGGGCAAAAAATATTCTTAAGCACTCTCATATGTAGAAAGCTACACCTGTATATATGCTCAGATCTGTCAGATTTTACATTGTAGTATCCAGATTACAACTTTCCCTTCAAAACATACTGGTGAGATTTGGGAATGGCTTACCTGTTCATCTCCTTGTATAATGTATCAATCGGTTGGGCTGCTCTGGGCACCATGTTCATTGAAAATCTGGTGTATGGTGGTATAGTGGGGTGACTGAGACCAGAGGTTTGCTTGTCCCCCCAGTCTTTTGTTAAACTGTGAGCTTCTCAAAGTTGCTGGGTAGCTTTCTTTGTGATTACTTACCTTGTGATAACTTAAGGCAATTATTTCAATTTCTTTCCATGAGTGTTTCTGTATAGTGTTTTGAATACACCATTCAGAAAATCTACATCACCTTTTTAGTTAAATGAGTGGAGAAGTAGTATGCTAATACGCTGACACAAAACACTGAAGGTTCTATAAATATTGCATATCAGATGTTTGTTATTACCCCATTAAATCCTTTAGCCCTTGGAAAAAGGTGACAGACATTAAACTGGTTGCTTTCATGACCAGAGAGCAGGAAAAAAAAAAAAATCCACTTCTCCTAGAAAGCAAGCGCTTTTCATATTTAATTTTGCTTATCCTTTGGAGCTGAAGCCACAGGTGGTCCAAAGTGGCACCAGGGTACCTGGTGGCTGCCCAGCACTGTTGGTACTATGGACCCACTAAGCCTATTTAGTCCTTATGTTCCGGCCTCTTACGTATATCTTCACCTTTCTGACATGTGTGTCCTACCTTCCTAAGCCCTGCCTTCGGCTCGTCCTGGCCTACATGCTATTCCTGCTCATAGTTCTCAGCCCAGCCATGGCTCTGGTTATCTTTTTTATTGCATCTGTCTTCTGCCCATCCCTGTTCCTTTATAGCATCATCTTTATCACCTGAAACATGATTTTCTTTATAAAAAACAACAACAACAAAACCCCATGGTGAGTTTTCAGCAAGCATCACTAAAATGGTTGTTTTGTATCTACCTTTCTGGAATCTTGAGGTGAATGCAGGAATAGCTGAGAAAATACTCATCAGCAGGGATTTAGCAAACAATAGAGCAGATACTTTCTGAAGTCTCATGAGACAGTGAGAGAATTATGGACTGGCTGTGTTTGTAGGTGGTCGCTGGAGGGCTGACTGCTGTGGCAAGGGACCACATAGCTATCCCGCTACTTGGCACTGAGTCTGGACAAATGTGTAATGAAGGTCCTGGTGGGAGAGATGTGTAATTGAAGCTTCTTGGGAGTGTGACAAGGGTGACCTGCCTAGACTTCAAGTCCAGCCTGGAGATCTTTGTGATACCCTGCCTCAAAGAAAAAGCAAAATGTGTGCTGGGAGATGACTTAGTGGTTAAGTGTGAGGACTTGAGTTCAGGTACCTAGAATCCATGTGAATCTGGCTGTTCTTGTCAGTCCATCTGCAGTTTTAGCCTTGAAAGGCAAAGCCAGGAGATCCTCAGAGCAAGCGGGCTAGCTAGACTAACTCTATTGAGAAGCGCTGGCTTTCGCTGAGTCCCTGTCTCATTGGATAAGGTAGAAGAGCCATTCAAGATTATTTCTGACCTCAACCTAGAGTGTCCATATGGACATGCATGTGCATATACAAAAGAACCTACATGTATGTACTCACAGGCAAATATTCATACAAGTATACACCACATATGTTCTCACATGCATGCATGCATGCTCAAACAAACACACACACATGAAAATGGAAAAATGTTTTAAAGTACAAGGGGCAAAGAAAGGGTAGAAATACAGTCAGAGCAGTCGCCTAGCATCCTGGCTTTAATTTTCAGTGCTGAGCAGGAAAAGGTTATAAAGTACCAGATTGCAAAGACTTGGATAGTAGGAAAAAAAAATTTTAAAGGGTAGATATAGATATTCATTGTTGGTTATCTTGAGTAGGATGCATTATTTGAGTTAAATTTATCACTTTCTCTAGGGGTTAGAATGTGGCTATTAGAAAAGCGACCATTATGGATGTGGTTCCCATTTTCCCATTTAAACTACACTGCTTTCTGTTGTAGACTAGGAGCCCTCACCAGTTTGTTTCCTGATGGCTATGTTTCATTTAGACTCTCAGCAGAATACTTCAGTATATTGTCTCACTAAATAATAACAACCAAGCCTGCACCATGAAGTACTCTCTACATTTTATGGTTGAGGAAAGTGAAGGTCAGAGCCATTAATTATCTTGGATTGGGCAAATAGCTGGTAAATGACAGTTGGAATACATCCTGATTTTGGTTCTTCCCAAACTAGTACTATTGAGCAAATGTAGTATGTGGCAAGCTTAACTGGGGCTTAGAAACAGCTACTAAAAGTGCCTTGCATGTATCTAAAATGTTACTTTGGCACTTTTCCTGCATGCTTTGTCACTTAACACAAGCAGAAGCTGTGGCCACTTAGCAGAGGGTTCCCCTCGGCTTGTTTCATTGACTCCTGATGAGGCAGATTGGGGGCCCAAAGCCCAGGCTAGGATCTGGTAGCTGGGAACAGTGTTTCCTCATCTGCCCTTGAGATATATGTGTTGGTTTAAGTGCGAATACCCCCATAGGCACATATATTTGAATGCTTAGTCACTAGGGAACAGAACTGAAAGAATTAATGTATTTAGTACAGAGCCTGACTTATGAGGCTATGTCATGAAAGACCTGCGGCTCCTCTTCACTCTTCTTAAAATCAATCTCTGTGGCTCTCTATCTCTGTCTATCTGTCTCTCTCTCAGCATTTCTTTCTGGAGGAGATGTATAACTAGGGGTGGGCTTTGATGTCTCAAAAGCCTATGGCAGGCCCAACATTGCCCCTCACCCTCGTTTGCCTGTGGATCTCAGCCATCACTCCAGCATCATGCCTGCTGCCATGTTGCCCCCCATGATGGAAATGGACAAACCCTCTGAAACAGGAAGCAAGCTCCCGATTGAATGATTTTCTTTTTGGTAAGACTTGCCGTAGTTCCCAGCCATAGAACAGTGAATAAGGCAATATACTTGGATTCAGCTCCATTTGCTGAACTTGTAGTGTTACCAACGGCACGTTCCATTAGCTAGTCTTCTGTTTTCACAAAGTAATGGTTCCACGGAGCAGAGCTGGAATGCAGCAGGGTCTCTAGAAATGTTTGCTGGACAAATAGCTGAATCCTTTCCTCTCTGTATGGCAGAGACTCATATCCATATTGCCAAGAGACTTTTCACGGAGCTTCGGTCTGATTGTCATTACCTCATAAGAATGTCTGTTCAGATGGCCCATGAGCTCAGCAAGCTTGCCACAAAGAAAATTCTTTCCAACTTTTCCCACAGTTTCTTATCAGCCCCTGGTCCTCTCTGTCACTGTATCATGATGGCGTCTCTGCTGTCTTCCTAGTCACTGAAGCCAGATGGCTAGGAGCCATTGTGATTCCGCTCTGGCCCTCACCTACCCCAGTCACTAAATCTTCTAGATTCTACTTTATCTTTTCTATTCTACAGAGATTCCCCTTACCAGGCTGTCGGCCTGTTATAGTGTGGTAGGCTTCAGCTTTGCACTGAAACTATTTCACTTAATTCTTGTGAGAACTCAGTGAGGTCAGTATTGTCCCCTTTATTCTGGCAAATAAAAAACAAATGGAAAAATGCAATTTGTAGGAATCAGAATTGG